GGGGGGGGAGAAAAAGCAATAAAATAAGCATTATTAACATGTTGCCTCTGTTAAACACACACACACGTGTGTGTGCTTTGTGTTCCGAGCGCGCAAAACTGTGTGTGTGTGGACTTTTAATATTGTTGCAGGAGAAAAAGAGAGCGTCTTTCCAGGAGAGGAGCGGGGATTGCATTGTGCAGCACAGGGAATATATTCCTGATTTCCTTTTCGTGCAGCAGCAGCAGCAGCAGCAGCAGCAGCAGCAGCAGCAGCAGCAGCAGCAGCAGCAGCAGCAGCCCGGACTGGCTTTGACAGGGAGGAGATGAAGGGGAGGAGTTGTTTAGCTCGGCTGGATCATCCATCATCCCTGTCACACCGAATCGGCAAAAGGAAAGCAGCAGAGGCAATCTACCTTCTGTCTCATCGGGGAGGAGGGGGGAGGGGAGGAGTGAGGAGGTGGGGAGGAGAGGGGGGGGGCGTAGAGGAATAGAAAAGAAAAGGCCAAAAATAAATAAATAAATACAAGTATTAATATGAAAATCCTCTCCAGCCACAATAATACTCACGTTCTCGTGATCTCACGCGCAAAACGGCGCATTTCTTCCTTTCCCGTTCACAAKAAAGGAGCTCTAGAAAAACAAAGGGAGTCTTTAAAGTTTTAACATCGTTTGGTAAAGATTTTTTTTGATGTAAACCCTAGTGTGAATCTATTAATAATAATAAAAATTATAAAAACACCTTCACCGCTGCTTAACGCAGGCCCAACATCTGTCTGTGGTTTAATATTTCAAACCTTGGTGAGAAGATTAGTCCGTTTTCATTTTTAATCTGCAGCTGAGACTTAGTGTGAGCATTTATGTTTAATATTAAAATCACACACACAAAATAATAATAATAATAATAAATTATTTTTGTATTTTTTTAAATTGTAAATGGATGTATGTTTGGTTATCCAACTGTTAATTTATTTTTATTTTAGATTTACTTTTTAATAATTTATCTTAAGCAGGTCTTGAGAGATTTTGGAGTTGAAATAAAAATTAGATTTAGATTGTATTATTTTTATATAAATGCACACACAAATACAAAATGGGCCTAAAGTAGATTTAAAAGTAAACGCCTTTCAGAAGGAAAATGTACTAAACAACTATAACTAGTATAGGGATAAAAACAATAAAAGTAAATAGTGCACTCACGCCTTCATCAATTT